GCTCCCCACTCTGTCTCTGGTGAATCCTCTCACCCTCCGCATCTCTGGCCTGTACCCCAGTTCTGTATGAATAAATAAATCTTTAAAAAAAAAAATTCTTCCTTCCTCAACCCAGAAGGCAGTGAATCATCAAAGCATTAAGCACTTCATAATGCATGGCTTCAAACAGGAGACTAAGTTCAGAGATAAAGAAATTCCTTCTCCTGTTAAGATTTTTATGACCATATGATTTGAATTATATTTACAATTGCAGGCTAAAAATGGATTTCTAGACCAAATTAACCTGGTTTTTCTCTTCCTGGGGCATTGCTCTGAGGTAAATATACAAATGACCTTTGAAAAGGACTGTGACCAGATGGGTGAGAGATGGCATCCCTGCTGCCCATCGTTTCTGAGAAATAGAACTCCTGTCACCCCCAGACTACCTCAGGACCCATCAGTGGCCTGCGACCTTCCCGCACAACTGATTTAACTGTCTTGTCATGGGGTCTCACCGCTGAGCTCTTTCCTGACCACTAGTTTAGAGACACTGGTCACAGGTTTGCCCCCAGCCCCCAGCCCCGCAGAGGCTTCAGGACCAGAGCCAGAGACTTACTGTTCGCTTTAGCCATCTCGTTTTTCAGGCTCACGTACTCTTCGTACAGTGGCCTCAGGCGCTTGCCAACCTTCGCCCTCCAGCCCTCCCAGGCCCAGAGCTTCGCTTCGTAGTCATTGCTGGTCGCCATGATGTCATCCAAACCTGCAACAAGCATGCGCCTTCAGGTTTGTGTGTGTGCACAATTATCATTTTAAAGAAGGGAAAACAAGGCTGGCAGACAGCAAGGTCATAAAGTTATTAAATGAACTTTCCCGAGTCATTCCTTTCCTCTTCCCTGTTGTTCTTCTCAAATATTTCTGCAGAGAAAATAAACCACTGAAATCGCTTAACGACTAATAAAGTTTCTTGATTGTGACAGAATATACCACCAAGTTTTTTTTGTAAAGAGCAGCTAAAATAGAGAGTTAGGCCATCTTCTCCTGGATGATCATCTGAAAGGTACAGTGTTATCCTCTAAGGCCAAACTCATTTTTAAAATGTGGGAGTAAAAGGGAGATTTTATAATCACTGCCCCAAATGAAAAGCTTACCTGGTTCGAGTAATAAGCACTCCTGAGGATTATGCGGGTTACAGACTTCTCCAGTGCTGTAGATGGTGCTCATCTCATTTAGAATTGTGTTCAGCTGTGAAGCAAAGAAATAAGCAACGTTGAACCGGAGGTGGTGCTAAAGGGGATGCTGACATAAAGCTGTCCTTTGGGCAACATGGTTTCTGATGTTTCAAAACAGCAGTTCACATCTGCCTTTTCTGTAATGATATCTCAGTTAAGCTTCCCCACTCTCAACTAGCACAGCCTGAAAAGCACATAATCAGCATGTACAGTGACAGAAACAACCAGATCTATCACAATCCCAGCTACATTTCTATCTACACACGCACAGAGAAGTATGTCTGGTTTCGTTCAGCATGTTCAGTATATTCTGTCACATTCTTGAACATCCACTAAAGCTGCACTGGGACAATTCTGACATGAACACGACACTGGCCCTCAAGGACCCCACAGTCAGGGCACAATGCGGAAGTCATGATACAGCAGAGTGACAAGTACTCTGTCACCAAAAAGTGCCATTAAGGAATGATGTTGGAGAGGAGGGGCATGGAGCTTTGTCTTAGAAGAGAAGAACTGGTCAAGGATAGCAGGAAGGGGAGGAGAGCGGAGCAGAGAGGATGGAAGGAGGTTAAGAACAGCAGGGGTTTTAGCGTGATGATATATTAAAGGAAACTGGAAGTGGTGGTGGGGGGCAGAAAGGAGGGCAGGGAATGGAAAGGAGAGCAGGCCGAGATCACAAGGGCCCTTCCATGCCAGACTGAGAGTTTAAAATTCACGCAGTAAGTAAGGGAGAATAAAAGTAACAGCGTCAGGCCCTCCCTGGTGGCACAAGGGGTTAAAGCGCAGCACTGTAAAACTAGCCACAGCCGCTGCAGAGGAGTTCAATCCCCAGCCAAAGAGTGAGCCACACAGTGTGGCAGACCTCTCCTGTCTCTCCACTGCTCACCTCAGCCATGTATTTCACTCGATATGCCTGTTCTGCTCCCCACTCTGTCTCTAGGGAATCTTCTCACCCCTGCACCTCTAGCCTGCACCCCAGTTCTTGTATGTTTAAATAAATAAGTCTTTTTTTAAAAAAAAGTAACAGAGTCAAGCAGTGCTACTCAAGGTGGGGCCACAGACCCAACGAGTTGGGTTTCAGCCAATGTTTCTATTCTGTGATAAATACAGGAATTGAGGAAATAAATGTTTATAAAGTTTTAAAGGTAATTTGGTATTTCCATGAAAGCTAAGCATCTCATCCATGCATTTAACCAAGTATTGCTCTTCAATGGACTTGATAGGAACGAATGAAAGGGAGGGAGGGGGGAGAGGACAGGAGGACAAGAAGAAGGGAGGGAGGGAGGGGAGAAGGGGGCAGGAGGGTCTGTCCTTGCTGTCATTTAGGAGGCAGTGTAAAAGGCCCTGCCGCTCCTTCTCCTGTCGCTCTTCCAAGAGTTTTTCACTCTGCTACAAGAGCAGCTAAAACATGAAAAGATCACATGCTTAAACCTTCAATGAGATCCCATAATCCAAAGGCATAAAGCCAAGTCCTTGCATGGCACAAACCCCCAGCCTCCTCGTCCTGCTTTTCAGCCTGCCCCCAGCCTTGAACTGTGCACGGAGTTTGTGCATCCTTGAGCGCCCCCTCTTCCCAAACTTGTCAGCTCTTCCACGCACGTCAGTGGTTTTCAATTCTGGCTGCACCTTAGAATGTTCTGGGGATCTTTTCAAAAGACAATGTCCAGGTTCCACCTAGAATAGACCAGGCTGTCCAGATTCGAACAGTAGAGCAACGAGCAAGGTTTCCCATGGTGTCTTTGTGAGAAAGAAGGGAAAGCATGGGATGGATAAGATAAAGTGGATTAATAGCTCATTGGACAATTGGGCCCAAAGAATGTAGAATAATAAATATGAACTGTAGGAAGATATGCGCCATATGGCTTTATCACTATCCTTATCATGCATTTTTCTTTTTATAAATGCAGATTAGTACACAGAGTTCCAGAGGACAAGCTACTCAGAAAGACTTTGATGTTAATAGCCAAATACTTCAGATAAAACATTTCATTAGGTTACATCAAGGGTCCATAAACTATGATCTGCAAACCATATCCTCTCTGCTGCCTGTTTTTGAGAAGTTTTACTGGCATACAGCCACAGCCACGCGTTTATGTGAGAGTCGTGCTGCCTCCCCACTCCTGCAGCCGTGTTCACTCAGCAAGACAGAAACGATACATCCCACACAGCCTGAACTATTGACTATCTTTCCCTTTACCAAAAAGTTTGCTGATTCTTGGGCTAGACATGGGCTAGGGGGTGCAATTTCCACAACAGTGAATCTAGGCTTTCTTGAAGTTGGGAAAAAGACCCATGTTAAGAATAGAATTTGAAAAGGCATCATTCAGAGCAACATCAGTGGAAGAGATGCAGAGATTTCATTGACAAAGAGGTTGACATGAGCCAAACAAAACTGTCAAAAAACCAATGCCAATGACTGGCAGATCTTTTAGCCAATCACCTTAGATGTATAAACAGCAAATAGTCATTTTTGTATGTTAAAAATAAAGATCCAAACAAACAAGAAACCTAACATAGCCCCAACTGTCTCAATAGGTGCAGAGCCCAGGGAGCTGAGTATCTCATCCCCCTTTTCTCTGGGCAGACCTGACTATGCCCAGGGCCGGTCAGGGAGAGTGGCAAAATGAAAAGGCAACTAGTGCTGATGAGGGGACTTGAAAGTGTTAAGGGAAATTGACAGAGTAAATGATATTTATCCTAGAAAGGAAAAGACTCCACTGTTTTTTGTTTGTTTGTTTGTTTGTTTTTAATGAGCAGCCCGAATTTAGTTGAAGACTATTATGGAAAACAGCAATTTGTTTCAGAAACAGAATAAAGTGGAGGTAAAACACTCTATTCTCAATGAAGGGAGGCTCTTTCCATCAAAGAGAGGGTTCTGTATATGGAACTGATGTCTTGCAAAGAAAGAATCAGCCCATAAAGCACTCTGGACTGTGGTTGGTAGGAACTTGTTTAAAGAAGTTTAGAATGAAAGGAGGGAGGAGAAGAGGACAGATGGGACTCCTCAAGTTTGGCGCTATTGATATTTGGGGCCAGATAAGCCTTTGTTGTTGGGGGGATGCTTGTATACTGTTGAATATTTAACAACAACCCTACTCCCTAGATACCAAGAGCACCCCCTGTACTTGTGACAACCCACAATATCTCCAGGCATTGTCAAATGTCCTGGGGTGTGCTGTGTGCAAAATCACCCCTGGTTGAGAACCAAGGGCATAGACCAGTGTATTCTTCAGGCTGCTTGGTGCTCAGAAAGCCTGTGTCCTAACAGAACTAGTGCCATTGTCTTCTTTCACTCCCCAAGGACTTCAGTCTGGCTGATAAATTGTGAGCGCACCCTACCTAGTGACAGAGCTCTTTTTAAATCAACATTACTATTGTGAGTAATAATAGTGTGGAACATTTCAACTCTGGGGATCAGTACTAAAACATCCACATACTCGTTGGATTTTTTCTTCTGTAAGTGCTGATGAGCCTTTCTGCTGAAGAGACTTCAACTGAAGCTTGACTATGGGATCCTGAATCATGTCTATTTGAAACCGTTCAGCGTCCTTGGATTTTTCTTCATAAAAGGCAGACCATTTGGCTCCAGCTTCATTCTGAAATGACAAAAAATAAAATTTGAGTTGGAATGGCATTTCACGATTAGAGAGGACAGAAGATATTGTCCAAAGAACATCTGGTGGAACATCTGATAGCTCCTGAGTGGTTTTATTCTCTTCTTTGCGGAAGGTCAAGCCTTAGGTTAAGAGTGACCAGGTCACTCTTGGTCACTCTCTCTTTTTGGATGATTGCCTAGCTTTCCCAAGGGTCCTGTCCCCAGAACTGGAAGTGAATTCTCACAGTTGACTCACATTGAGGGACCCTGGAATTTATGCCCTGAGCACTGCAACATGGGACTGCTGATCAAGAATTCAAGGAAGAATGCTCAAAGGGAGAGCCTGGTAGAGCTCACAGTGGACTTAATGGAAATTTAGCCTTCATGGTGATGGGAGCCATGAGAAATGAGAACCAGTTTGCAAGAAGCTCCGTGGAGCCACTACTTACAAGAAATTCTGATTTTCAGTGATGACCCCTAAGGAAGGGTGTCTAGAATACAGCCATTGTGTAGCCATGGTGACTTTCTACCAGCAAAAGAAACCCAGAAGCAGATGATAATACCAGGATTCACTTAGCCCCATCTTGAACATCAGTTGGCGTGCAGACCTTTCCAATGGCATCTTCCCTCAAGACACAAACTCATCCATTTATCCAAGATTAAAACAACTACTTCATACACTGTACTCCATAGAAGAGGTAGCATATGAGTAGGTAAGAACTCCAGTCCTGGAACAAGACATATCTGACTAGCTGTGTGGTCTTAGGAAATTATTTAGCTTCTCTGAGACATAACTGTCTTAATTGTAAAATGAGAGTAATACTAGAATTTACCTTCAAGGGTTGTGGTAATAAGCACAAGAAGAACTGATAGACTATAAAATAATTATGAGAGTTTTTAATACATCCCAAGCATTGGAAAAATGCTAGCTGTTGGGCCCTCCCTGGCGGCGCAGCGGGTTAAAGCACAGCACAAAGAAGCTAAAGCCACTTCCGCATGAGTTCGATTCCCGCCTGCCCTGGAGGTGACCACATGGCAAGGCAGACCTCTCCTGACCCGCCCGCTGCTCCCCTCAGCAGTGTACTTCGTCGATCTGCCTGTTCTGCTCCCCGCTCTGTCTCTGGTGAATTCTCTCACCCTCCGCATCTCTGGCCTATAACCCAGTTCTGTACAAATAAATAAATAAATCTTTAAAAAAATAAAAAAAATAATAAAAAAAAATGCTAGCTGTTTTATGATTTATGGGAAAAAAGTTCTTGTCCTTAGGAATGCATCATAAATGTTTTGTTAATGAAACAGAAGAGCATATGATAATGCATAAACGCTGAATGGACCAAGAATGTTCTGTTACAGGAAAAAAGAGATTCACACAGGTGATCTGGCCACACTCTCATGGAGAAAGGATTTCCGACAGACCTTAAAGTAGATAGGCGTTAGATGGGTGTGAAATAATTTATCTTTGCAAAATAATCTCCTAGGATCTTCCTGACAACTCCATGATATGGAAAAATCATTCTATCTCCATTTTGAATACGTGCATAAAGGATTCCAGAGCAGCCTTCCCCTCGTTGCTTTTCGAAGATACTGCATTTATTATCAGGCCCTTCACCAGCAAAAAAGATTATTTGCTGAAGACTCAGCTGACTGTTCACATTTTTAAAGACAAACTGTTTTATTTCATTTTAAAATTTATTTATTTATTCATATAGAACTGAGGTACAGAGGTGCCAGGGGCGATGAGAGGATTTACCAGAGACAGAGTGGGGAGCAGAACAGACAGACTGACAGCATACACTGCTCAGGGGAGCAGTGGGCAAGACAGGAGAGGTCTGCTGCGCTATGTGGGCCACCTCCGTGCAGGGGATGGAACTCCCACCAAAGCTGCTGCAGCCAGCTTCACAGTATTGTACTTTAACCTGTTACACCCCAAGGAGTGCCTAAACTATTTTTAAATTAAGGTTTGCACCTTGTATTTTTAGACACAATGCTATTGCACACTTAATAGACGATAGCCGAGTGTTGACAGAAACTTTTATATGCTCCGGGAAACAAAAAATTCATGTGACCTGCTAGATTGTACTATTCAGCTCACTGCATGGTCTGAGCCAAACCTGTACTATCTCCGAAGTGTGCCTGGGGAGCTCTGCTCAGCTGCCGGCATGTGGCTCCTGGACCCCAGGGAGGACAGACGCTAACAGGGCTCCCCGATCCCTACTTCCTGGTGGCACAGCCTTGTATGATCCCTTCCCCTGAGTGAAAGCAAGACGCTTCTAACAGCAGAATACAGCAAAGGTGACAGGCACATGTGCTGATGTGATCTGAGATGTACTAGTCACCTTGTTTGGAGGTCACTTGGTGAGAAATTGAGGATGGCTTCTAGAAACTAAAGCATCGGTCCAGCATCATACAAGGATCTGAATGTTATAAGCAACGACATTAGCTGGCAAGTGGATTCCTCTCCAGTTGAACCTCAAGGAGACGACAGCTCTAGTCAGAACTTGGATTGCAACCTTATGAGACTCAGAAGTGGAAGGTCCACTAAGCTGCACCTGGACAGCTGACCCACAGAGACTGTGAGATAATAAGCATGTGTTGTTTTAAGCAGCTAAGCCTGTGGTATTTATTACACACTAGATAACTAGTGCAGACCCTGAAGGCAAGACACCAGCAGGATGGCACTGTTGAGACCAAGAAAATTGGCTTTTCTGCAAATAGTAAGGGGTCACTTGGGTGTTCCAAGCAGGCACATGACCTGACGGGGATGGCCCAGGGAAATGACAACGCGAGGTCAGATGAAGAGAAAGGGAACTACTTCTCAGTTAGTCTCCACAAGCAGTCTTGTGAGATCGTCTCCACTTCACAAACGAGGGAAATGAGCACAGAGTGGGCTTGCAACTTGTGCTGGGTCACACAGTAAATAATTAAAAGAACCAGGACATCAGCCCAGAGAAGTTTGCTTCTAAAGTTCACCACTGGAACTGAGCCACTGGAACCATGTTCTTAACCACAGACACATTCTAGTGTTCTCTCTAACAGGCAAGAGTGGGAAGGAGCGAGCAGCAACAGAGACTTGAGTTACAGAACCGTCTCCTCTCTACAACCCACCACTCACCTCTCAGCCTACTCCCCTCAACCCAGGATGATACTTCATCAAGCAAAATGTTGGTAGAAGTTTGATACCGAAGTACAGGAATAATTTTACTTGCAAATGACTTTGGAAACTTTGGAAACAACTCAATTCCCAAGAGGCCTTCATGTCAATATTTTTTTTTTATTATTCTTCATGTAGAAGTCTTGAGAATACCTGTTTTATTTTATTTTACTTGACTTACCACAGCTCTGGTACAAGTGTTAAACTTTATGCCACCAAAAATTGACTTTATGTTGCCTTGAATTTTGGTGGCTGAAAACTGACTGCTTCATCCAAGCTAGTCTTCTTAATGTTATTTACAACCTATTCCATCCTCAGTGGAATATTTTTTTAGGCTTTATTCCTAAACCTGCTAACAACTGCCATATGAAATTGCCAACACTACATTTTAACCTAAAAATATAGATATTGTCTAGAAATCAACACAAATCAAATCTCCTTGAGTATGCAGGTGAAGCTCTCCAAGTGGAATTCCTACAAGGAATTAGTGGATTCAAACAATTTTCAGCTTCAATAGATATCATCACATTTTGGACAAACTGATTTTCTGTCATGTCAGCACTTCCTTGTTAGTGTTACTTTATTTCCCTGATTATTCATTAGGTTATATGTATGTATGTATGTGCTAAATACATACTCTGTGAATTTGATGCTCATATCTTTTCTCCACTTTCCTCACAGATTTTTGTCTCTTTCTTATCACCTAGTAAATATATATTCTGACTGATAAGCTTTTGTTAATTACATGCATCACAAATATTTTCCCAAGATCTACTTCTTGTTGTGTGTATGTGTATCTATTTATGTGTCTTGATGCACAGAAGTTCATTTTTAAATCTGTTGCAATTAATTGGTCAGTTTTTCCCTTTAGAGTTTGATCCTTTGGTCTCTTATTTAACAAACGGTTCGGTTTCTAACCAACCGTCTCAAGAGACACTAGTCAAAAATCAGCTGTATTGTCCTATAACATTTCCAGTTTTGCTTTTCTTATTCAATCTTTAATGTATTTTCTATTTCTCTGTGTCTAAAGTACTAATGCCTTGAGCTCTAAGTTACAAAGGGTCTTTTAACTTGCTTCTTTTTTCTAGAACTCTAGAGACCTGAACCAGCTTTGGTAACTCCCCAGCTTCATATTTCTGCAATATGCTAGCAGTGCATATTCAATTTCGCACTTGTGAAATAACTCACAGGACTCTGCCCACCATCTGCTTTTGTAAATAAAGTTTTACTGAAACTTAGTCACACTGTTTATGTACATTCTGACGGTCTGTGGTAGCTTTTGTCCTGTGGTGGCCGCTGAATTGTCTACAATGGCAGAGTTGAACAGAGTCTGTAGGCCCACAGAGACTGAGGTATTTGCCATCTGAACTTTTACAGAAAGTGTGCTGACCTCTGCCCTATTTCCATACATGCACAGCAAATACAGGGGACAAAAGAGCATGTTAAGCAATGTTAACTGGGCACAATCAACAAAGGCAGAAAGTGAGAGTTTCTAAAAGACCCAAAACTCAACTCCTCCACTGTTAAACTACAAAGGGGAAAAAGTGCGGGAGGGACTGCTTAGAGCTGATGAGATTTAAGGTACCCTCAGAAAACAGCTGGGAGGAGAGAACCTGTCCCATCCTGATTCAAATAAACTAGCAGACATTTTTAAAAATATATGAGCAAGTGAGGAGATTTGCATATTTACTAGATAGTTGATGAAATTAAGGAATAAGTCTTCAGTAGCACAGCACTAGTATTAAGGTTGTTTTAAAAATTCTTTGAGGGCCCTCCCTGGTGGCGCAGCAGGTTAAAGCACAGCACTAAGAAGCTTAAGCCACTTCAGCATGAGTTTGATTCCCGCCCCA